CCGAAAAACTCCTGTATTAATTTTGTCCAAAACTGAAGCCACGTAGTTCATGCATGAGACTGTCAGACATGAGTAGTTGCAGATGTCAGTGCGTCAGTGGCAAGGAGCCAGGAAGATGGATTAAGGCTTAGTCACTGAAAAATGCATGCCAGCACATCTGAGGCACCAACACTGCGCCACCTCATAAGGAAAATGTGTCATGACCAGAAATCGATAACCTCTTGGAGGCAATATATTTGATTAATTATACTGGTGCATGCTTGGCAGTGTAGCTTCATCTAGCATTAACTTAATACTGTTTGCATGAGGTAGTATTTTAACCACATTCATAAGTCAAAAATAATTTAGCTTTTAAAAGTTCAGCACATAGATATAATAACGTCTCTGTTGCAGGTTTTATTGCATATATTGGTAATTGCATGTTTTTTACTTATGAGCTACAATAGCATTCATTTAACTTAAATTAAAATAGCATAAAATGGTTGCTTTCTAGAATAAAGATGCTGTAACAAAACAAGAACAAAAACATACCATGAAACAAGTTCAGATTGAAGGAATAGCTAGTCTCGCAAGGGGACATCTGTCCATAGTGGACAGCCAGCTAGCAAGTAGCAAGGAGAAGTCCACTCCTGCTTGCATTTTCCATCATAGTTATTCTGAAGTTAAGAAGAGAACCACCGGAATGGCTCTTTATTAAGCACTAAACTTTCCATTTTTCATTCTTTTTTTACTCTGACATTTCTGTTTCATTTGATAGCTTATAAAATAAATGGTAGGTGTTCCATGTTTCAATTTTAGAAATTGAAACATGGAACACCTGAAGCCTTCTAGAGATTGGATGAGAGTTGAACAAAGTGTGGCAACTTATAATATAATTTATCTTGAGATCTGGAAGGCAGGTATTCTGGTTGATGACATTTGTTTATACTTTTCCCCATTTAAACTTCCGTTAAGTATTGAAAACAATTTGCAGCATGCACCATTATAAAAGTCAAAACTTGGCTATTTTGGAGGATATGCTGATTCCTGGACATATGCTTGATCTTGGGGCAGGCAGTGGAAAGCATGAGGGTTGAGAAGTTGCTGAACATTGACAAAGGATGAGGACAGGAACGCCTGTAGGAGGTGTCCAGAAAGTCAATAAAGAATAGAATTAAAAGGGACCTTGGATGTCTTCTAATTCAACCCTCTGCTCAAGCAGGAGACGTTATACCATTTTGAACAAATAGTTGTCCAACCTCTTCTTGAAAATCTCCAGTGATGGAGCACCCATACAATCGTTCAATTAATTAATTGTTTTCACTAACAGGAAATTTCTTCCTAGTTATAGGTTGGATCTCTCTTTAATGATCTTTCACCCATTACTTCTTATCCTGCCCTCAGGTGCTTTGGAATATAGGTTGACTCCTCTTCTCTGACAGCCTGTGAAATATTGGAAGACTGCTATCGTGTTGCCCTTAAGCTTTCCCTGTGATAGGCTAGATATGCTAATTCTCTTAACCATTCATCATACGATTTAGCTTCCTAAACCCTTATCGTCTTTGTTGCTCTTCTTTACACTCTTTCTAGGGCCTCAGCATCTTTTTCGTATTGTGTCAATCAGAACTGGACTTGGTATTCCAAGTGTAGCCTCACCAGTACAGTATAAAGGGGTATTATCACTTCTTGCGATATTGTTGCTATCCCTTTGTTGATGCATCCTAGGACTGCATTGGCAATTTTAGGAGCTGCAGCACACCGCTGGCTCATACTTAAGTGGTGGTCCACCAGGATGGATACTTCTGTGTGATCAAAGTCCATTCTGAGGGAATGTATTTATATTTAACAAAGTTCTCTTTCAGAGGTTTGTTTTAAGCAGACTACCTACTTTACAATGTGGAATTTGAATTTTGTACTGATAATTGTATCTATTACAGAAAGACACAAATAGGATTTCTTCCTGCTGCTCATAATCAAACTTTCATATCTCACTCTGAACCAGACTAACCTATAGTTGGTCTGCTGTTGATTACTACAATATTTGGTCATCAGCTGATGGGAAAAGTCTATTAATGTAAGTATAGGAAGTGAAAGTAGATGAATTGTGAACTGTTCATTCTCTGCTTACCCATCTAGTGTAGCAGCTCGGATAGCATTAGGAATTATATACAGCATTCTAAATTATATCATTATGTATCAATTAGAAAAGGACATCTAAATAAAATTGTTATGAATGGATTCTAGACCTGTTCCATTTCTGATATATTAGTAACAAGAGCTGATTAGAAGAATGGAAATTTTGTTAGTAGAAATAACAAAAGAATAATGAGTTTCCAATCAAGCAAAATAACTCAGCAAAATATTTTGTAGCTTATACTGCATGAATCTATAGTAATGGACCAGAGGAATGCTGTCAATATAATTTACTTGGACTTCAGTAAGGCATTTGACAAAGTAGACCATAACCTACTACTTGATAAAATAGAAAAATGTGGGTTAGACAGCATCACCACCAGATGGATTCATAACTGGCTGACCAACCGCACTCAATGTGTAGTCCTCAATGGAACTGCATCTGTTTTAGGCCCAGTACTCTTCAACATATTCATCAATGATTTGGATGAGGGGATAGATGGGGAACTCATCAAATTTGCAGGCAACACCAAGCTAACAGGAATAGCCAACACTCTGGAAGATAGGCTTAAGATACAGAAGGATCTTGACAGACTTGAACATTGGGTGCTATCCAACAAAATGAAATTCAACGGTGAAAAAAGTAAGGTTCTACATTTAGGCAAGAAAAACAAAATGCACAGGTACAGTATATGTGGTACTTTGCTCAATAGTGGTGACTGTGAGAGGGATCTTGGAGTCCTAGTGGACAATCACTTAAATATGAGCCAGCAGTGTGCTGCAGCTGCCAAAAAAGCCAACACAGTTCTAAGCTGCATAAACAAAGGGATAGAATCATGATCATGTGAAGTGTTAATACCATTTTATAATGCCTTCGTAAGGCCACACTTGGAATACTGCATCCAATTTTGGTCGCCACAATGTACAAAAGATGTTGAGACTCTAGAAAGAGTGCAGAGAAGAGCAATAAAGATGATTAGGGAACTTGAGGATAAAACATATAAAGAACGGTTGCTGGAACGGGATATGTCTAGTGTTATGAAAAGAAGAACTAGGGGTGACATGATAGCAGTGTTCCGATATCTCAGGAATTGCCACAAAGAAGAGGGAGTCAAACTATTCTCCAAAGCACCTGAGGACAGGACAAGAAGCAATGGGTGGAAACTAATCAAGGAGAGAAGCAACTTAGAACTAAGGATTTCCTGACAGTTAGAACAATTAATCAGTGGAACAACTTGTCCCCAGAAGTTGTAAATGCTCCAACACTGGAAGTTTTTAAGAAGATGTTGGATAACCATTTGTCTGAAGTGGTGTAGGATTTCCTGCCTAAGCAGGAGGTTGGACTAGAAGACCTCTAAGGTCCCTTCCAACTCTTCTATTCTATTCTAATCTTAAACACTTAATTTACAGATTTCTGGAAGCATACATAGAAATTAAATGTACTTAACATTCTCATTAGAAACAAGTATTTGTATAATTATTATTAAAGATATACAGAAATCAGTGATATCTGTAGATAGCTTTATCCTTTATGAGTATGTCCTACCGTCTTTTATCCCATCCAAATACTGCCTGTAATGATCTCTTTGTTTGACAAATCACATTAACTGTGTCCAATGAGAAAAATACTTCTGTTCTGAATATCTATCATTAGCTAATCAGAAGAATTTGGATTTTAGTATTATATGAGAAAGGTGTATATGTGTCTATTCATTTTCTCCAGATGCACATTGTTTTTATACACTTCTGCCATATTCTCACCTTTTTTCCCTTAAACTATAAAACTACAAATATTGTCATTCATCATAGAGAAAACATTTTGATGTTTTTCTGCAACTTTTACCTCTACAAGTAACATTTTTCACACAATATTTCAAGTGTGCTCACACCATAAGATTTGTTAAAAATTATATTGGCGATATTATTTTAATTCCTTGTTAATCCTCAATGTGAAACTTGTAACTGCTCAACACGCCAGTTTATGTGTTTTCACTGAGCAATTGGGGGTGGGGGTGGGGGGCAGGGTTGTCGTAATACCCATTGATATTTACCACCTGCGTCTTGGTTTTTTTTAATCAGCTACCAATGAACCAGAGGACACTTTTCCTCTGATCCCATATATGCTTAATTTACTCGAATGTCTACGTAAGATTCTTATGCACTTGGGACAACAGTAACCCTTTGTTTCTTGTTTGCTATCTTTCCTTTCCAGTAAGTTTGTTTCTACTGCTACTTCATACTGCAAATCTTGCAACTGAATCTGTATTTATACTGATTTTTATTTGGTTGCCAACTGTGACTCTAAACATCACTTAAAACTTAATGCTCCTGTATATAATAGTTAACAGATCACACCATGAAACTTAACATTCTGTTTAGGCCCAGTCTTTACAAAAAAAAAGTAGTAATTATGAAGCAGTGTATATAAAATAGAAACATAATTGTTCTTCAGTTTATGTTACTTATTGCATTGCTACTACCAGCACTTTTAAGAGCTGGTGAGCAATTCTATTATATTAAATAACAGGCATTATTTCTAAAAAGTCACTTAACTGCAGCCTATGGTTGCAGAAAGCTGGACGTTGAGAAAGAGCAAGGAAAAGAAGTTACAGTAATTAGTTTCAAGAAGGCCAAATGATCAGCACGTAAAAATTTATATACTTTGGAAAGTTGATGGGAATAGATAATGGAATAGAAGAATGCTTGGCTAGGTTGAAGGAAGTTGAACAAGGGTAAACAATAAATAAAATGAATAGTTGGAACTAAAGGGACCATTGCAATGTTCTTGAGAGAGCTAATTATTATTGCTAATTCAATAATTGCTTAATAAATAAATTTATAGAAAATGCTTGCATGAATTGTTTTCTCCTATCTTGCTTTCATTGTAGCATACAACTGTCTTACCCTTTATATTAATTGAGATGAGAACGACACATCATGAATATCCCAGCAGGACCTACGGACTGATTGCTGTGTGCACTATTTCAGTTTGCTACATATTATGGTAAGGAATGCATTTTCACATTGTGTAATCTAATCACTGCTATCTCAGTCTTACCAAGCAGGATTTGATAAAAAGTTTCACACTGGTTTTTCTGATACTATATGGCATATATTTTTAGGGTCTTCCCCCCCCCCCTTCCATAAGACATTATTTAGGAATTTGTTCTCTGCCCCTCTCTTTTTCCAGCCAACGCAATTAAAAATAACTTTTCTATTTCTCTCATCAATTTTTACCGTTCGGTTTCACAAAAGTGAAGTGTATTCAAGTAAAGGTGGATGCAGAGTTAGCTTGGGTCTCAATGTGAGGATTTACGCAGAAGAGCACTTTACCTCAAAGCAAATGAAACATTGCCCAATTCAAGCTGGTATCTGAATCTGAAACAGGATTAAGAAACCCAAAGTTTTGATCTTCTGTATTAATTAAAATAGGAAAATACAAATTGTAACCTTTGTAAGGCTTTTCGGAAGAAATGAAATCATCAGAGAACAGATGAAAAAAAAACCTTCTAATTTTTAAATGAGAATATTAAGTATTGCATTTTTCATCTCTGACATAATTAGATGACATATGGAGGCAAAACTGTGCTTCTGAGGAGATTTATTGGCCAGTTTCGAGCTAATAGATGCAAATTGGGGGATTGCAAAAGAGCGTCTTTGGTCTTCACAGTTTGGCTGAGGAACTTTTTGTTAATTCCTTTTGTTGCTTAACTGCTGAGGTCTGTAAATGGTGGAAGGAAGGAAGGGAAGAGGAAGGAAGGAAGGAAGGAAGGAAGGAAGGAAGGAAGGAAGGAAGGAAGGAAGGAAATCTTCCTTGGAAGAAGGATGAGCTATAGAATCAGGGAGAAGTATAAATAATGCAAGATCACAATTTTGCCCCATTCTACCCAAAGCTAAATCAGTTCTGGAGAAGACTAATATGCCCTTCTAGTTCCAAAGCTATAACCTCTGCTTTCAGATTCTGAAACCATAATATTTCAGCATGTAGGTTTTGTTGCCTTACTTGCCAAAAAGCATTTCTTTTTAGGCCAAGACTATTTTCACAAATCAGGGAATAATCCAGTAGCAAAGTAGGTTTCTTGAATATCTGAAAACAGTTTGCAGTGTTAGTAAATGTTGTTAGTCTATAAGCAAAAGTTAAATTGCTATGATTTCTCTTTTACAAAGAAACAAGAATTTCATTTTGTGTTCCCATATTAAAAGTGAAATATGTGCATTTAAATTCTTTTTTTCCCCTTTTTCCTCTTTGCTTACCTTGACTAGAATTTCAGACCATTTCTTTTTTCCCCTCAGGCATATTCAATATTAAATTGCCTGTTATTTTATAAGACCGGAAAGTGGTAGGGACTCAACCAAATGGCTACAGCATGGGACTCTAAAATGAATTTTAATGCATGTTCCATTCTGCTTATCTAATAATAAGCAGTACAACAATTGTACTGTTGAAGGCATTCATTAGAGTTAATAACAAATAATCTTGTATGGAAGCTTTATGCCTAAGGTTGATCAAGCCATTATTGTGTAGTATTGAGTTAGCATGCATTCAAGGAGGAAAGAACTCGTCAACAGAGGCCATCAGGTAATGTTTCCATGACAGCAGCACTACCTTTTGCAATTCTCTACATAGACATTGCAAGAATATTGCTAATGCCACTCTTCCAGAGAAGAGAAAGATAGTGAGACTAATTGTATACAGCAGATCTTGGCTGGTCTAACTGGCTAGTCATAGATAGTTCTGTCTTTATATTTGATGTAGAATTTAAGTCAGTTATTTTTTCATTGTTAATATGATCTTTCACTTATTTGTAATGTTGCTTTGAGGGCAACAGTGACAATTTATTCAAGGATATAGATTACAGGGTTCAAAGGCTCTAGGATTAATCCTGTACTGCTTCCAGCTAGAAATCTATTCCAAATTCTGTTGAAAAATTGTTCGTAGAGACAATGTTAATTAGAGAATAAGATTACTATATCTTAAAGAAGTGTTCTAAAAAATGAATTCAGCCCCACTATCCTACATCCCTTCAAAATAAGTGCTATTAATCAGAATATTCACATACAAAGCTTCTGCAATAAAACTTAACAAATCGGTAAGTATCAATTTTTGCTATTGGAAATATAACATCTAAGATAAGAGATGTAGTTTCTCTTGATAACAGCACAATTAAAGGGGTGAGAAATTTTCTACTGATTTCAATAATGCTTTTTCGAAAATATGCTTAGCACATCTATCTTGATTTATTAGGGAGTAGTGAAACAGATGGAAACATTTTCTGAGAGTTTCTCATACAAAGCATTTTGGGACACACCACACTATTTCCCCCCAAAAAACCCCCATATTTAAGGAACATAGTTTCACCTTAAATTTGGAATCACTGTTCACTTATATCTGTATTGTCTAATCCAAAAGTTGTGAATGTGCGATTCCAAACTTGTTTTTTAAACAACAGAGCTACCTTGACCAATTGCAAACTGGTGTGTAGTCTAAAATACAATAAAAATAGGTCATTCTATGCAGCTTCAGGCTGGTTTCCAGATTTATTTTCTCATTATGAACTTTTTGTGAACTGATTCTGTTACACCAAAGAGGGGATCAGGCAGGAAAAAAGAGACACAAAAAGTTATGTGTGGTGGCGCAGTGATTAAAATGCAGTATTTCAAGTAACTCTGTCCACAGCCAGGAGTTTGATCCTGACTGGCTCAAGGTTGACTCAACTTTTCATCCTTCCAAGGTCAATAAAATGAAGACCCAGATTGTTGGGGGTAATATGATGACAGTGTAAACTGCTCAGAGAGTGCTGTAAAGCACTGTGGAGCGGTATATAAATCTAAGTGTTATTGCTATTGCTAATTTTGTTTCTATCCATAGAATCTACCATCCATCCATCCACCCACCCACCCACCCACCCATTATCTATCTATCTATCTATCTATCTATCTATCTATCTATCTATCTATCTATCATCTATCTATCTATCTCTGTCTATCTTGTTTTAGTCGCTTGAATTATTTCATTATAGCTTCCTAACTTTTTTTTAGTAAAGAAGTAAAGATTACTTATTGAAATTCTAATGAGCTTACTTAAATAATTTCATTCCTTCCTTTTTGAATGAAGCATGGATGCATGGATAGAAAGAAATGGATCTCTGCAGTGGCTTCAAAGGCAAAAATAGGTTTTAGAGCCTGAGGGAAGTTACACATAATACTTGCACTTGCACTCTCTGAAATCAGATAGCTTTTCTCAGCGCTCAGTGCTGAGAAAAAAATACAGCTGCTTTATGGAATTTCAGACAGGTGTTACACAAGCACCCACACACACGTTTTGGGCTTCAAATCTGAATATATCAGTGTTGCACAGGCCTGATATAGACTGTTCTGACCCAGCCTTAGCAGAAACAAGAAACAGACTCCTTGTCCCGAAAAAACCCTCTTTATTTAACTACTGTGAATTTATGACATTCACACACAGAAAAGTCCAGGCAATAATCTTTCCAAGGGTTAATTGCAATAACAGACCTTATCAGTCCTTGGATAAATGCCAGGGAGAGAGCTTCCAGTCGCAAAGCTGTAAATTAATTCCTGGCAAGAAGTCTCTGAGGCAAGAACCACGATAAGCAAATCTTCTAAAAGAAATAAGAACTGTTGTCTCCTGCAACCACCACTCTCCTTTTGCTTCTATTTTTTCCCCAGCCAGGGAGAGGCCATTCAGTATCCACGTGTGCCTTTCTTCCCGAATCGGCCCCTGTTCCTCAGTTGTTCTCCTCTCCTGATAGCTCTGTGCATACGCACAACTGGAACAGGCCCCAGCTGTTGTTCTTCCCCACTCTGACTCCGAAGGCAGCTGGGAAATGTCAGACAGCCCTGGCTCTATCTCTGCTTCCGACGCAGAGCATCCATCAGAGCCTTCCCCAGACTCCAGGACTGGCCCAAGTTCCTCCCCAACCTCCTCATCATCCGAGACTGGCGGGCCACAACATAGACAACAACTTTGAAAATGCGTCAGACTGTCAAGAATCAACTTCATAGGGAGGCTAAAACTATTTTTATTGAGAGTGGCTATAAACAGAATTTTTGAATTTAATTGTGCTGTTTCTCTTCCCCTTTTTATATTCCAGTGTATTAGGGAGGTGTCTGGGCCATATATATTGGTTCTGTACTTAACTTACGTTCTTCTCCTTGTTTGTTTTGGTAACGAATCAAACCTATCTCTGTTGTGATTATCTTCCTTACGTTCTACAGATATCTCACTTTTTGTTGCCTTTGATTGTAAGTAATGTAAAATATATTGATTGGAAATCAAACAGTATTACAGTTGATGCATAGAGTGGGTTAGGTCTATAGGTCCTTCTGTGGAGGAAGAGAATCATTGTCTCCTACTCAGGATAGGGTCTATGAAGGCTGTAATCCTATACTAATTTAATTGGGAATAAACCCCATTGTGTGAATTGTTTCTGAGCAATCGTGCATTGGATTGAGCCCTTAGGAAAACAAGTGAATTATTTATTTTGTTTTTAATTGAATACTTCATTATTAATAGTATTTTCTGTATGTGTTTTTTCTTAGGGTCTGTTGGATATATCATGTGACTGGGGTTTGGGTATATCCTCTTCTGGATTACCTTGGTTCAACTGCTAAAATTGTCTTCTTTGCCACTGTAACTGTAGTGATAAATACCTTTTACTTGCTGGGTGAAATACTAAACAACTGCATATGGGATACACAAAAATGTGAGTATCAGATTGCGATAAAAAATCATACTTTAGTTACTTTTATTATATGTCATACTTTTACTATTACTGTTTAAATATTTTTGCAAAGTAACGCCAGTATTTCTTTAAATGTAAATATGATAATTATTTCACATATTATTATTACAAACAGGATTGGACAGCAAATGAGGTACTTAATGCTAGCTCGTAGCTAAAAGCATCTGCCTGATTAGCCTTTTTCCCTTTTTGTTGATTTCTTAACTGATGCTGGCTATGCTCATAGAAATACTAAATCTAATTATTGAATTAACCTTTTTACTGGGTTTGATCAATACTCAACCAGATCCCCTGGGTATATATAATATAACAAAGTCATACTCACCCCATCCCATCCATAAAGTAGAATAGGAGTAGGCTGTATGAAGCCATTTAAGTGTGTTCTGAAGATCTCAAAAGCAAATACAAACATTGGTTTATTTTGGTTGATTGTAATTATAAAAGAAGTAGCAAAGTCTCTCAGTAGGTGGCAAAATCTTGCTGGGCTTAAGAAGGTAAACATCATTGATAGAAGATTTCCATGAAGTAGTAGGGAATAATTTGTCTAAGTATGCAAGAGGAAGAGAGGAGCAAACAACATTTCTATTGTTGCTAATAAAATGACATGAATGTACCAGTGGTGGGTTCCTCCCGGTTCGGCCCGGTTCTCCCAAGCCGGTAGCGGTTACGATATGACGTCACTGAACCAGTTCTGCCCCCGCGCCTCCCCACCCACCCCTCGCGCCTCCACCCACCCCCCGGGTTATTCTTACCTTTTATTTGGCCCCATCCCCAATCTATTGTTGCCTCCTGAATCCCAGCTGATGGCTAGAGGGAAAAAAACTGTTTAAACTCTTGCCCTGGGGCTTCAAAGGGTCACCCTACAGCTGATCAGTGTTAAAAGAAAACAAATGAGTAGACCAGTGCCTGCAAAAATACATGAGTAGATCAGTGCTTGCAAAAATAAATGGATAGACCAGTGCCTGCAAAAATACATGACTAGATCAGTGCCTGCAAAAATACATGAGCAGATCAGTGCCTGCAAAAATAAATAGATAGACCAGTGCCTGCAAAAATACATGAGTAGATCAGTGTCTGCAAAAATAAATAGGTAGACCAGTGCCTGCAAAAATACATGACTAGATCAGTGTCTGCAAAAATACATGAGTAGATCAGTGCCTGCAAAAATAAATGGGTAGACCAGTGTCTGCAAAAAATAAATGGGTAGATCGGTACAGCTCTGCAAGCAGTTAAAAGCCTGGTAGACCAGTACCTCTGCTAAATCCTAAATAATTGTCACATGAACATCAAGCCACACCCACAAAATAAGCCACGCCCACAGAACCGGTAGTAAAAAAATCTAGAACCCACCCCTGGAATGTACCCATGAATACATTCAGTTAAGCGGTATCCTAATCGCATCAGTGAAGAGACTGCTTAACTGTATTAACTTTGTATTAACTGTATTAACTTTGTATTAACTGTATTAACTTTGGGGATTGATGTAAAATTTTGGGAAAATATTCATCAGTATCTTCTTGCAGATCACACAGAAAGAAGATTCAGAAATATACATGTCAGATAGTGTTTTAAATAGTTTGCGAGTTCCTAACGTATCTTAAAATAATGCAATGTGTACATGCCAGATGTAGGAAACAAGATGACAAAAATAAGAATTCCACAAATGGAAATTCTTAATCTGAACATTTTTTTTTCTTTTTCAAGAGTTATGTTTAAATACCAGAACAGAATAAATTGCAGTTGGTTTTTCCAAAGTAAACCACTAACGTGAGCAAAATAAAAAATAAAAATGCCCTATTCTCCAGGCCAGATTTGATTCACAAGCCTGGATGCTAGGATTTCGAAAACTGGATCCATCCGCAATGAAATATTTTTTAACAAAGCTTAGATGACCTTTTTATAAAAGGCAAATAAAATTGTGGATATTTAAACCACTCAGTGGAAAATGTTCCTCCAGCTGCAAAGAAAACAGAAGATCAGAAATCGGCACAACTGTAGTAGCCAAAGCCAAAATGTGTTCTTAGAGCCATGCTGTTGTTTGTTTTCTTAAACCTTTGACAACAATTTGATTGTTTTGAGTTTGTCAGTAATACACAGCTCACTGTATTTAAACTATTGGTTTTAACCAACCTCAATTGTTTTCTTATTATGTATTTCATTACTATCAAATTCCCTTGCATGCCTGCGATAATCAAAACCAGAATATGAACATCTTTAAAAAGAGCCCATAGTTATTAGAATTTTAAGATAGCCAACTCTCCACACCTAGCAATTAAAAGGGTAAAGAAAGGGTCATATTTCCTTGCATATTACAGTATAATAATGGCAGTCTCTAGATGATCATTTTTATAATTATTGGGATTTTTCAACTCAATAAAATTATACCAAAAAAAAGTAAAAAGAAAGAATAGCAGTATTAAAATGAATTAGGCTTCATACTATAGCTGCATTTCTATACATATTTATTTCAGAGAAAGCCTCCTGAATAAACATTTCTAGAGTTAGCGAGAAGCCCTGAAATGGAGAACAATTTGGATCAAGGATTTAACTATATCAACTATTTGCTGAATGTTTCCTTGCAGATAAAAGTATGTCGTAGTATTATAACTTAAAAGAATAGCAGAAAATGTACTTATCGTTTGTTAGTTGTATATAATAAGATATAAATATATATCTTTTTATAAGATATAAGAACATTACTTTTTTTTTACTTTTTAGAAAAATACATTGTTAATTTTTAAAATCTGAATAAAATGTAGCTTGTTCACAGACGAACCATTCTAAGTCTTACTATTGTACCTCAAACTGTTTCCAAGGGATACAGGTTAATATATGAAAGAAATATTTTTATTGAAATTTATCAATAAAAATATTTGGTTGGGACCTTTGTATTTTGTTAACATTCAAAAATCAGAGTCTTGGTAGGCACCTTTTTAGATCAACAATTTGATTTGATAAAGTGAACTAAAAAACTTCTGCCTTTTAATAAACTATGTTACTCAGAATGAAGTATCAGACTACTCCCGATTTTTGTTTACCGTAGACCAGGAGTATCAAACTCAAGGCCCGCGTGCGGTCCCCCAAGCTCTGTTTTCGCTGGCAGAGGGCTGCAGGAAGCTGTTGCAGCCGAAAACGGAGCTTGTGAGGGCTGCACACAGTCGTCCCGAGCTCCATTTTTGCTGGCAGAGGGTTGCAAGAGGCTTTTGCAGCCAAAAACGGAGCTCGGGAGCCCGTTTTCGCTGGCAGAGCACTCGGGCCACCACAGGCAACCCCGACACGAGTGATGTCAAGGTGGCCATGCCCACCCTGGCCACACCTACCCCAGACCCCCAAGGTCAAACACAATCCCGATGCGGCCCTCAATGAAATTGAGTTTGACACCCCTGCAATAGACTAACATAGCTCTCCTCATTTATTGGGAAGACCAGTAAATTAAAAACAATTTATGCAGAAGAAAAATAACAATATTCACATTCTTGTTTACACAAGCATTTCAAAAGCTGTTCTTTTGTTGTTGTTGTTGTGATCAGGTATAGAAGAAGGAAAAGGAAAACCTAAATCAGACTGAACACAGGATAAAAGAAGAAAATAGAAGACCTGCTGTTATATGAATGGCATCTCATAACATCAAAAGAAATTTCAAAGAGGCATTTATATTAACAGTGCATTCAAAATACTTTGTTTTTTAAAATGGGATGTTGATTTTATAATCTTCTTAATACCTTTGCTACAACATTGGAAGAATTGGGAAATGGGTATACCTCATACCTGAATATGACATTATTTATACAGAGAGAGGGTGTGAGTGTATGGGGGTCTTTCCGGCAACTGCTTTAAGAATGAAGAAATATCTATTTTGTCTTAGACTTGGAAACATTAGAAAAGTCAATCATTTGAATCATTTGGGTTAAGTCATAAAACTGCATCTGTGAAAGGATGGATAAGCCCCTTTGAACAAATTCAGGACCTTTGATTATGAATCAAAGAGTTCTGAGTTGCTGCCAATACATCTGGATACAGTGGTGTGTACCTGAAACATAGGGCATTCAGGTTTGGGGGTTGTCTGTGAAAGATTTACGAATCAATAAAGATCAATGAAAGATTCCCCTGAGTTATAAAAAAAAAAGGGAGCATCCTTAATTTTTTAGAATCTCTTTTTAAATAATTCATTGAAGAATAATATAACTTCTTCAAGACAAGGAGTTGGTTTAACTCATGATACCAATCATTATATCGTCTGAAAAAGCCACTTTTAATTGAAACATATGCATATTATTTCTTGCATATTAATAAAGAACATATTCCTTTCTCCCGTTACCTAATGGCCAAATGTTTTTCTCTATTTAGGTTTTTATAGTCAGCGTCAGGTATCTTGATGAGCTTCCACCATATCAAGAAATGACAAAGTCCATTCTCCTGAGGCTTTTTTTCATTAAAACTTTACCTAAATGAAAAATAACTCATGGGATACTGCTATATAGTAGTTATTTATAACTTGGTTTATAATCCATATTACACAAAGAAAACTGGAATGGAGATGCATCTAGTGGGAACAACTGAATTAGTACTGATTCTGGTGCCCAAATGATTCAGAATGACAGAGGGAGCATTGAGCAGGCAGTGTGAGAAGTGAACAGTACAGTACAAAAATTTTGGGAGGCCTTTGTTGTGACCTAGGCTCACTTAGTCATTACAGGACACAATTATTCTCAAACAAAACTATTTTATTATAACATCTGAGAATTACTTCATTCCCAGCTTAGTCCAAATTAATTCCAAAACAAGTCCTTCAGAAAAAGTCATTCGGGCTTATCACAAACCTTTATCTTCTTTGGCACCCTGCCAAAGGCCTTTCTTGGCAAAGCCTCACAAAGTTCAGAAATGCCGATTGGAAAACAGATTTAGCAACGTTGCTTTCCTACAAAGAGCCCAAGAGCCTTTGCTGCTCTTTTAAGCCTTCTGGGAGGGGCCAATCATCTCCTGGCCTTACTCCTGAGTCGTCCTTTTTGCTTTAGCTGCTCTTGCCTTCTGGCAGCTCTGTGCATGCGCGCACTAGGAACAGGCTCCTTCTGTTCCTCTGCCTCTCTGATGTCCAACTCTGGAGGCTCTGGAGTCCGCACATCACTCCCAGATGGCCCTGGCCCCATCTCTGTCTCCGACGCAGAGCCCTCGTCTGGGCCTTCCCCAGACTCCAGGACTGGCCCATGCTCCTCCCCAGCGGCCTCACTGTCCGACTCCGCTGCTAGCTCCACAGGCTGCTGGCAGATCACAACAGCCTGCTGTAAGATCCCAGGAGAAAAACAGGCAACTTTTATAGTGTTGTACACTAGATAATCGGTTGAAATGTTCTAATTGTGCCAGAAGTATGGTCCTTGAAATGGACTGCTCTAACTGCATGTTGATTCAAATTAGTATTAATAACTTCACAATTGTAAAACAGGCTGCTTCCAACACACAAGCAGCATGTGTGTGTGTGTATAACGTTTGAATGTAACATTTGAAAGTACAGGTAGTCCTCAACAACAGTTCACATAATGATGATCAAAGTTTTAACAGCATTGAAAAAAGTGACTTATGAGTGTTTTTCACACTTACGACTGTTATGGCATCCTGGTCACATGATCAAAATTCAGATGCTTGCAACTGACTCATATTTATGACGGTTGCAGTGTCCCAAGGTCATGCAATCCCCTTTTGCGACCTTCTGACAAGCAAAGTCAATGGGAAGGCCAGATTCACTTAACAACCTTGTTACTAACTTAACAACTGCAGTGATTCACTTAACAACTCTGGCAAGAAAGGTCATAAAATGGGGCAAAATTCACTTAACAACTGTCGCTTAGCAATAGAAATTTTGGGTACGATTGTGGTCATAAGTGATGGATTACCTGTATATGTGTTTTACTTGCCAAGGAAATTTTGTGGAAAATTCTGATGAGACCAATACAATTTGGTGTGGCAATAGTGAGGAAAGTGGTGGCAACTCTGATAAACGATCACATTTGCCAACAGAACTTCCTATTACAAAATAATTATTTTTCATCTAAGGGCATCCCCTGAAAAGATTATAGTAAATCATTGGAATGATTCTCCTAGACCTCCTAGAGCTAGAAAAATATTTAGCAACAATAGCTCTAAACAAAATTCATGGTGGACTAGAAAAGAACTAATAAAGTACTGAAACAAACATCCTGAAATAAAAGGAAATAGTCAGAAAGGGCAACTTTGAAATACATGCTTTTAAAGACAAAAATGAAAGAAGAAGTAGGTAACACTCAACAAGATGGGAAGAGCATCTTGTGTACCAAAAATGAAGGGTTGGTTCAGTTAATGGAAAAGCTTTAAAATGAGGAGTAACCAAATTTATACCATAATACAGTTTTTCCCATATAACTGAGGGATTTATGATATAAACCTATTTATGTCTAAGTGAGAGATCGGAATGCTGTATTGGGGCTTTTTCCTTGGTAAGTGGCTTATGACTGCATTTACTATTTGCAACAACAGCTGAAAGATCTCAGTTGAATCACATATTATTTATCAGGAAATATTTACAGATGCTGTAAATTGAAGATATATAACACTTCACTGGTACAATGTAAATTAAGGCTTTGTTGTCAACAATGTAAATTCAACTTGATAAAAAATAAATGCCTGCAGTTTTGTTAATAGTACTCAAGCATGTTCATATGGCAAGGCTTACATAACTCATTTTTTTGCTGCTGGTACTTTATGTCTGTATTTCTCATTCTCATTGTTTTATTCATTAACTAAGTGTATCTTCTGAGTTCTTGTAGCAACATCGCTCCTTCCTTCCTACTTCTTGTTTCCAAGGAAGTGACTGATGCCTAGAAACTACAGTGTGAATTCTTATTACTGGCCTGAAGTCTCATGTTTATTTTGCTGATAAGGATAATGTGAGGATAGGTCCTTAGTATGCCACAGCTGACCAAAGGATGTACAAATAGCCAGTTACAAATACCACCACTTGATAAGTGGGAAGGGTGGCCACCAGTGCCCCCCTCTTCAACAAAAGAACAGATTACAGCTATAATCTCGGTAAATTTAATAGTAAATCACTTGGGAACATTTTAAGTATTAAGATTACAAAAGAGCTGGTACAAAGTAAAGAATTATGAATGAACTGGATATAAATTTCAATAGATCTATTTTTGTTTATAAACTGGACCTTTTTCTTATTTTAAAAACTGGTTCAGAGTAGCTTGTTTTCTATTTAAGGGGGAAAGTATTGGACTTCGGTAACAAAACAATGTTTTCTGCTTTACAGAGATGCTTATGCTTTCTTACAAAATATCTCAAAAATCAGTCCAGATACGAGTCTATAATTGTAGGGTCTTCTTCTAAAGATTTATATAAAAATTTATGGTGATTTGGTCTGTCAAACATGCTAAAATAATACAGGTTTAGATTTAGTACCACTCCATGAACAGCAGCTTTCTTGTCAACAAAAAAGCAGGAACAAAATCTGGATCAAAAACATATTCTTTTGCTGAGCTTTCCCAAGCTAAGACTAACCTTTGTACTTGTCATGTTTAGTCTGTAAATAATTGGCCAAGATTGAAATGGTTAATACACATATGTGCAAATGTATCTTGTTTGTGAATTTCAGTTCAATGTGATAAGATTTTTTTAAAGTCTGTTTAGATACCACTTTAAGTAGAAATCATGTCATTTACACATATTTTTAAAACACAGTTTATTAAAATGTTAAACCTTTACCACATGGATAATATTGCCCAATCTTTCCATTGCACAGTCCATAAGCAGAGAATGAACACAAGTCAAAGATTTTATGTTGAGGGTGACACTGACCTTCCATCATAATAAAATAATCTTTGCTATACTTTGTGCTTTCTAAATTGAAGTTTTTCATATATCGATGATGTCTACATTTTCATTTTACAGTTCAGCATCAGTATCACTGAATTTTGACTAAAACAAGAACCAAGACCTTGCCATCATAGCAGATGTTTATGTAATAATCAGGGTTGGGATTCAAAACCCATCGCTACTGGTTCGCTTGTGGGTGCGCGCGTGCTTGCGCACACTGCTGCGCATGAACTGCATGCGCAGAAACTTCCAGGCAGGTGGGTGGAGCCTCTCGCCGCTGCCGCTACCAATCCAGGGTGAACCGGTAGCAACCCACCAATGGTAATAGTATCCATAAAGGTCTTAGAACTGATTACTTGGATTCCCAAATAATTTATCAGTCTTTAAAAGTAGGGGCTGTAGCCTCTTTTTTTATAGGGTTTTTTTTTTCTTCTCTATTATTGTATGTTAAAGCATCTTTTTAAAAAGTAGACAGAGACAAAAAGATTAGAAAATTAATACATTTCAAATATTAACAAGAGTTCCTGATTATTTCTTCAGAAATCTTTTTTTCCTTCCCTAATGCTCTAATGTTTTAAGAATCTAGATCCTTATCCTAAACATAGATCCTTATCACACATTTTTGGACTGAGTACATTAGACTCTAATATTAGATAAACATCTGGGAAACTCCCTACAAAGCAGGTGTAAGAACAGTTCTTTTGTAGCATTGGATAGAAATAACATCTTCATTATAGCAATTCTTTCTCTCCAACTTTTCCCCAAATGACCAAAGGAATGTACTCAGCATACTGATGACACCTCCCTCTATGGCAATGGATGAGCTCACCCAGTTAGCTTGCATAGATATTGAATAAGAGAGAGCACCGATTTCTGTGGCATCACACAGGGTAGGTACCAGGAGTAGGATCCCTCCTCCCCAATCACCACCAACTAGAATCAACCCCAGAAATAAGAAATGAACCAGCACAACATCATGCCACCCAGCCCGAATCAAGAAGGATCCTGTGTTTGATGAATTGAAGGCTGCCAAGGGGTGAAGTAAGGCAAGGATGGATGCACTACCACCATTCTGCCCATGCCAGATATCACACAAAAGTGTGACCAATACCATTTCTATTCCATACCCAGTTCTGAAACTTGACTGTAGAAGATCCAGATAATCTGCTTCATCAGGATCTTCTGAAATTGCTGCACAACTACCTTCCCAAAAAGGGGAGGTGGGATGTATTCTGGGATCTAGTGATGGCTTCTTGAGGAGGATCTGAACCAAGGTCTCTTTAAGAAAGAAAGGAACAACTCCCTCACTCAAATAATTCTTCACAGCTAGGACCCTGTTATATGACACTCCGTGGGCTGCTTTCACAAGCCAAAAGGGGCATGGATCTAAGGAGCTTGTGACTCAGCTCACAGTCCTAAAGATTCTGACCACTTTCTCGGGTCCAACAGGTTCCTGAGATAACTGAAGAAGACTCCCTCTAAGAGCCGTGGAGACACTGAGGTTAGAATTCAGTACAGCGCAGGCTAACTCATTGCTCACCATCAGGAGTTTGATTTGGACTGGCTCAAGGTTGACTCAGCCTTCCATCCTTCCGAGGTCGGTAAAATGAGAACCAGATTATTGGGGCCAATATGCTGACTCTGTAAACCACTTAGGGAAGGCTGTAAAGCACTTTGAAGTGATATATAAGTCTAAATGCTCTTGCTCTTGCTCTAGGCATCTCCTCTGAACCTGCAACAAGGCAAGCATCCAACTGCAAGAAAATCTGGAGCAATTTTGAGCAAATCCCTCCACACAGCCCTACAAAAGTTTTCTCGGGGTCCCATAACCCAAGATGGCTCATACCACCTTAAAAAGAGCTGTGGGGTGGCCATCTGAAGATGCAATAAGGATGGAGAAGTACCGCCCCAAGATAGGCCATAATAGCATCTCTCACCCATATTCAGCCATGTTTGATATGTGTTCGTCCTTCGTGAGCACCCTAGATATCTCTTCTCCTGTTACATCTCTCTCCGTAAACCATGGGAGTGACAAGATGCATAGGAGCAATCCAATCCAAAGCCTCAGCAGCCCTTTTTGTTCCAAGCACTATCAAGGATTTGCAGCAACATGCAGCAGACCAGCAGGAACAACACTCAGCTCTCTCTGGAACAGCAAATTAGCTGTTGTTTTTGCTAGAATATATAATTTATCAGTTATAGAGGAGAAAATAAATCATCTGTGTAACCAAATCATGCATCTCTGGTCAGCATCAGACACTCAAATCGGAAGCGAAAAGTACTGTTCAAAAACGGAAATACACACAGGTCCAGAATATTTCTGCCTTTCAAGGCTTTAAACTGAGTAAAAATTGTTTTAAGTTAGATGATGTAAAGGAAACTAATAGCAGTTTGGAAAATGTAAAGCAAATAGCACCAACTTTTGATTCTATGATATCTGAATTCTGATCAAGCCTGTCAACTGCTTTTTCAAAGATTCTTCCTATAGATTCTAGCGAGTATAGAAATGTTTCAATAAAAAAATGGTTGTACAACACTCTTTCCAGGTAAATGTCATCATGTTGGTAATTAAGGAAAAGGTAATTTAATACCCTCCCCTCAAAAAGTCCAAATACAATTAGCTTATCTAAAACCTTATTGGGGACAAAGGTATATGAAATATTTGTGAATAAAAGTATCATTAAAGTTCAGTAACCAATCTGGTCCTGAATGGAAAAAAACTAATTAATGTATAATTAATGTATAATATTCAGAATAAAGCTAATAAACCCCAAGAAGCTAGAAATATGCCCTAGTAAAGTCTTGAGTTCCCAGCTCTCCAAGACCCTCTTCACAGGCATACATGATTTCTCTTTCCAAATAAATCTTAGATTAAAAAGAAATCCTTGTGTTCAGGCAATTATTCTGGGTCAAACTGTACATTAAAAGTTAGAATTTGAATGCTTAAAACACTTTATTTCGGTCACTATCTTTTTGCTGAACATTATATGAGAAACCTGAATTTAATGTCTGCATCAATACTACCAAATGTCATCAGCTGCATTTTTATTTCTCCCAGTTAGTTGTTTCTAAAATACCCCTATGCAACAGAACATGGTTAAAAACAGAAGGACCATGCATGGATTGTTTCAGCAACTTGTACTATGAATACAAACTATAATTGCATTTCATGTGCACCTCCACATTATCCTTTAAAGCAGTGTTTTTCAAACTTGGTAGCTTGAAGATGGGTGGACTTCAACTCCCAGAGTCCCTCAGCCAGCAGCGCTGGCTGGGGGCTTCTGGGAGTTGAAGTCCACCCATCTTCAAGCTTCCAAGGTTGAGTAACACTGCTTTAAAGTGTCAGCAATTCCATAATGTAAACGGTGAAAAGTGTATTGCCCTAAGCAATTTTACTTAAAATGTTCAATTTCAGTTTAAATATTTATGCATTTAAAATAGGATAAGACGGGAATCTTCCGGGATGTATTTTGCATAATATGGGATTTCTGTCAGGAATTTGAAGTTGGAGATATGAGGGTGGCACAAACCACTGTTAAGATTTCAGCAGGGTGGAGATGAACCATGGAAAAAGAAGGGAAGATGCATTTATGGGTTTGATAACATAGTAATATGAGAACATGTAAATTCTTTGAACTACAGTATTCTCTTTTACATGTATAAATGCAGATGCTTACAACGTGGAAATTTGTGACATTGTGTGGGAGGCTTGTTCAATTGCATGTTCTCCTATATAGGCGCCAGGAAAAAAAAAATGTTGTCATGGTAATTGTTTCTTTTGCTGAATATTAAATAAATGGAAAAGCAAGACACTTTATATTAAAATAATATTATGCCAACCTGATTCAACCAAAATTGGTTAGGACATCAAGGCCAAAGTCCTGTTCCGCTCACTCACTGGACTTTTGAGTAGCTGAAACTTCAAGGGTTGGTCTTTCTCCTTCCTTTTTGCCGTTATCACCAGCAGCAGCCCACTGGTGCATTTGACCAGCAATCTGGAAAGACCAGATCATGCTTATGGCAATGCCAAAGCAATGATCTAGGAGAATTAAAAGCCTCCTGGCTTCTTCCTTTTACCCAAGGCCCCTGCTTTAAGCTTCTTAGCTTTCTTTTTCATCCAATCAACACTGCTTGAGGAACATCTCTAGAAGAGCCTTCTTTATTGCTTTCATGCAACTGTGGCAGAGGTGGCATTCAGCAGGTTCTGACCAGTTCTGGAGAACCAGCAGGGGAAATTTTGAATAGTTCGGAGCACTGGTAAATGTCACCTCTGACTGGCTCCCATCTATTCTCTGCCTCCCGAGTCTCAGCTGATTGGGAGGAAATGGGGATTTTGCAGTATCCTTCCCCTGGAGTAGGGAAGGAATGGAGATTTTACAGTATCCTTCCCCTGCCATGCCTACCAAGCCACAACCATCAAGCCATGCCACGCCCACCAAGCCACACCCACAGAACCGGTAGTAAAAAAAATTAGCCTCACCACTGAACTGTGGGTGGCAAAACACTGGTACTGCTTTTCCAAAAATAAAAATTTTGGCTTTGAGGGAGAAGTTTGGGAACACTTAAAGAGGCAGGATGCTTAACCCTTTCCCCACAACCTTTTCTCTGCTCTATCTCATCCCCAAGGATCTCTGTAGAAAAGGGATGAGCAACTCTGGCCCCTTTATGACTATGAATTCCTGAGCTAGTCATGCTGGCTCTGGAATTCTGGAAATTGAAATCCACAGATTGTAAAGGGAGCATAGTTGCCCACCTCTGCTGTAGAGTTCCAAATTTACTCTTTACCTGCTATTCCTATTTCTGGCAGATGTGCTGGATTATAGTACCCATATTCCTTATGTATTTAACCCAGTGGCAAAGAATTGTAGTTCAAGATACTTAAAAGGCACATGTGCCTATTTGTCCTAGCATTTCTAACTCCAGTGGAGGGTGGAGGCTATAGATATGAACCATTTGGGAAATGAAGAAGGAAGCAGGGAAAGTAGTAAGTTGCCCATTCTATATGTTTTAGAA